ATGGTGGCAAAATTCTAAAGGAGGTTTTTTATGTTTTTTACGTCAAAATGTAAAAGTTTTGGCTAAAAGGACAAAAAATGTCAAATTCATTAACGATTTGTGGCAAAAACACTAAAATGTAAAACTTTTGACTGCAAGGACTAAAAGTGTCAAAGTCAATAAGATTTGTGGCAAAAACTTAAAGACACAAAAACTTAATCAAAATGCAAAAATATAAAAGTTTTGACTTTAGGGACGAAAAATGTCCTAAAGGCAAAAAAATTACTGATCCTAAGCTCCTTTAGATTTAATATATATATATATATATATATATATATATATATATATATATATATAATGTGATAGTAATGTGATTTGTGTTAAAAAACTTATTTCTGATGCATCTTGAAGTTGTACATTTGTATTTGTGAAGTTGTACATTCGGTTTTCATACTTTATATTTGTAGCCAACTGATTTTTGATGCACGTATTATATAATATGTTAGACAATTGTGATATACATATGATTTGTGTTATAAAACTGGTTTTTGATGTATCTTTTGGTTGTACCTTTGTATTGTACCTCAACAATTTTTTTCTACTTGCAAAAGTCCGTCCGAAAGACTTTTCCTCAACAAAAAAAAATGAGTGCTGCAAAAAATGGTATTTATACACTGAAAAAACTAAAATCGCAGATGGTCTCCCATGTTCACAGATGAGCAATCCATTTACGAACATACAACTCCCCACTGCACGAGCCTGCTTTAACAATTTGTTTGCATATGAGAAGGCAAAATCACAGATGATCCTAATCCATCTGCGATTTTAATGGCTATTTTTGTAATCTTGTTTTTTTTGCTATTTTCTACAAATAAAAAAAAAGGAAAAATAGCTATTTTTGTAATTTTCTCTATAGAAAATAATTAAAGATTAACTGTCCTTTATTATTATTATTTTTGTCTGTTTGTAAATTCTTGTTAGTTTCAACTATATAAATGAAAAAAGTTTATTCATATGCTATGCTTGTAAGAAAGAATTATGAAACATTTTAAGACATAAATCGCTTTATATACTATTTCATTAATAAATAACTGACTGATATTTTACGACTTGTTTTCATTTTTTCAATTTATTTTAATTTCTGCCGAGTCTCGGTCATAATCCATCATAACTTCTTATTCAAGAAAATGCATTAACTTTTTGTTGATATTTTAGGTATTTGATTATTAATTAAAAACTTTTACTATATAATATATCATGGAATCGCCTATTGTTTAAGGTTGATGGTATTTCCAAACAATCAAACAAACCACAATCTTATTCTTATGGTCAGTTTGGACTTTTAGGCCACACGTTAAGATCTTGAACTTGAAGCTATTTCACTTTTCAAACCCTAAGAAATAGTCTAAGTATCAAATACCTCTTAAGTTTGTTGGTATTAAGTGTTATTTAATTCATTAACATTAGGGTGTTTGGACGTGCGAATTGCGAAATGATAATGTAATACTGAATTAACAAAAATTAAGTAACTAAGCAATTAACTACAATAAAATAAAGGGTAAATTACACGAATGGTCCCTGTGGTTTGGGATAGCCTGTCTATTTGATCCCTAACTTTTATTTTTAACTCGGAAAGTCCTTTAAACTTTAATTTTGTTGCTTAATTAGTCCCTACGAAATATAGAAAGACATTTTTACCCTTATGGATTTTATTCGGTTTATTTGTATTATTTATTTGTTTTTACAATTTTATAAGAGTAAATGCACCCATAGTTACCCCACCCAATATAAGCTCCCTCGTGTTGTTTTTTTTTTCTGAATATTTGATAATAACCAAAAAGCTTCTAGTTCAATAATATCAAGTGTTGTTTTCTTTTCTTGATCTTTAACATAGGTGAAAAAAATTATTAGTACGTTTTTTTATGTGGGTATCTTCAATATATGAGACTGTTTCGTACAAATAGTGAGAAAAATATATGAGATTGTTTTGGGAATAAACTTGTCTGAAAATGATAGATAATTTTTGAAGAAATTCCTATTTTATGAAATATGATTTAAGACTATATTTATTATTTCTAATAGTTTTATTGTTCTAATAGTTTTATTATATTTTATGATAATGGATTCTATGTCAGATGTTACGACATTAATGCGTAATTATAAAACACAAACACAAAATATTTATGTTTCTAGAAAAGAATGTTGATAGAGTGGGTCAAATTCAATCAAACAAAATTCAATATTTGTATTTGTACGTGTGTACACATACATAGAACGGTTCACATAAACTCTAGATTTTTTCTATCCAACAAAATATGATCATAGAAAACTTGATAACGTTTGTAATAATTTGAAATTTTGAATATTGTTTGTGCCCTAAATTTATATTAAGTGGTTTTATATTTGATTTTGGTTTATCTTTTTGACTCGGACTTCCTTTTATAACAATGTTTTGAAGAATGAAAAAAAATGTTTTTTTTTTTCATAAATGAGTTGATCAAGAACCTAAGAACCTACAAATGAATGATATCTCATTTGTAAAACTACTCACCTACACATGTAAAACCACTTACCTACAATTATGCTGATTTAAAACCTATAAATGAATGATATCTCATTTGTACAAGAGAATAAGAGATGCATGTTGATGCCCATACCATCGGATTAAATGGCCATATGATCACAAATAATTAAAAGATAACTCTGAAACAGATTCTTATTTGATAATCGAAAAATTGTTTAACAAAGGAAACAAAATATTTATAAGGAGGTTAAGATAAACTTCATTTCTTAACCTCTAGGAGATCAGAATTGACTAGGCTCAAAAAGGATTTCGAATGCTCAAAAAACATCACAGATCACGACAAATTATGAGTTTTCTTAATCGGCTAATTTTCATACGAATTTTGTCCAATTACAAGTTGTTGGATACTTGGATCTCTTTGGCAGATTTATTATTGATGTCATCATACTTCAATTCCTATTGTTAACGACATAATAAAGTCATGCATCAACACTTGTACCGCATAAATCACATATTAAATGTCATACACATTGAATCTTAGTGACCAATAAAAAGTTCTCCTATTATAAATTCTAAAATATGAAAAAACTATTAATAGAGTTTTTCCAAATTTCAAAGGTAAATTTTTTCAAATAACTTGTTAATTGACAAGTTGTTGGCTTGAGCTTTTTTTAACAATAGTTTTATACAAATTAGAAATGGACAATTACGTAAGGGGTCATAAATAAGCAAATTGAAAAACTTGTTCTCTTAAAAAAACAAATAAGTTTTTTTTTAATTATTAATAAAAAAACACCAATAAAAAACTCTCCTATTATAAATCCTTTTAAAAAAAATTAAATATCACTCTATATTTTGTTTCTATTTATATTTCTATTTATATAAAACAATGATACGATCAAATCTACTAATTTTTTCTTTTAATATTCTTTCTTGATTTTGAAAGTTGCCATAATCTAATAAATATAACGATTAATAATAATAATAAAAAAGATATTTGATTTCTCATACTTTAATAATATTTCTTATCTTCACCCATTAAATCTATTTTATCAATATAACCTAAATCTACCATTATACCTCATCGAACTTTAAATTACATTTGGATAAGTTTGTAGTTTGAACGTTATGCAAATATATTTGTACATACGGGCATGCAAGTTGTTAGTGTATCCGGTGCGACCGTAGCATTAGTCCCTACACCCCATGAGCGCCTTTATAAAGTTTAAACTATTAACAATTATTTTATATTTTATTTAAATAATAAATACTTAAGCATATACAGTATTATTATTATTATTATTATTATATAATATTATTATTATATATATATTAAAGTTATGAAGAAAAGGAATAGTAAACTTGTCAATTTTTTTGGCAGAATTGGTCCTTGTATTATTATTGGGCTTCAAAGTTAGGAGTAATAAATTTGGATGTTTTTTGGCAACTTTGCTCCTTATTCTTTAACCATTTTGACACTTTTGGTCCTTGCAACCAATATTTTTACACTTTTTAGGAACCTTTTAATATTTAAAGTTTGGCCACAAAACTTTAACGATTTGACAACTTTGATCCCTTTTTTAAAAAGTTGCAAATTCCTACCCCTTTAATTCTTTAGCCATTTTGACATTTCTGGTCCTTGCAGTCAAAACTTTTATATTTTTTCATAAAAACTGGATGTTTTTTGGCAACTTTGCTCCTCATTCTTTAACCATTTTGACACTTTTGGTCCTTACAATCAATATTTTTACAGTTCTTAGGAACCTTTTAATCTTTAAAGTTTGGTCACAAAACTTTAACGGTTTGACAACTTTGATCCCTTTTCTAAAAAGTTGCAAATTCCTACCCCTTTAATTCTTTAGCCATTTTGACACTTCTGGTCCTTGCAGTCAAAACTTTTACATTTTTTCATAAAAACATGAAAAAAACGGTCCGGGGCAAAGTCCAGGCTTTTCATCCTTGCACTTTCTACGTTTGTCATATTTATCGATTCGCAAACACCATTGAAAGTTTCTGGCCCCCGCGTAGCGGGGGTAACCTTTCTATTTATTATTATATATATATATTAAAGTTCTGAAGAAAAGTAACAGTAAACATAACATGGTGTTTTTTTTGGCAGAAATGGTCCTTTGGTTATGGGTGGGGTTGCAACTATGTTTCTTTTCTTTTAGGGGTTATTTTATGCCATTTTACATATTCTTTTGTAGTTCCTGGGCAAAGAGGGTATTTTCCTTTTCTCCAAGAATTCCCTGTTGCTTTTATCTGTTCCTGTAGATGTGTTGTGGGTAGAGTGAAGATACTGTTCATCATTTACACTGGTCGTCTTCTCCTTTACCGCATCCAGAACCTTCCCACCGTCTCTGTTATTCAATAACTTCTACCACTTCAGACCATCCGTTCTCTTCCGATCGCATGATGCTCTTTCGCTCTCATTTGCCCTCAATCAACCTCCGTCCCGTCCTCCTTCTATCTCCCCAAATTCCACCGTCGTCTTCCGATGTCTGTTCATGGCGGACAAACACCAGTGCGATTCCCAGAAAACCTTTACCGTCATGTAAGCCCTACATCGATTGAAGGAAATCTGTGTCAAATTTGCCCTCTGCCTTCTCCACTACTGGTACATCTATCTTATCAATTTCTTTCCTTCTCCTGTATACCCCAAAAATTTCTTTTCCTTCTCCTCTATACCCCAAAATCCGATTCTTTTATTTCGTGGGTTTCATTTCAGAAGTTAGCAAATCCCAAGTAAGTTCATCATTCGCATTGTACAATGATTTCAATTTATGTGGTTTCGATTTATGAGAAATTTAGTGATGACCGACGAAGGAGGAGGGAACGACCAGTAGGTTGATTGCCTTGGAGCCGTCCGTTCTTCCCAGTTAGGGTTCTGATTGCTCGGGTTTGCGTCGGCAGGAGTTGGGTTCATTTTCAGACAATTGAGGCACTTTCATATGTTCCAGCATCTGAATTGGCTTTGAGGTTGTACTTACAGTGTGCAGAGGTAAACTTATTACCTGTTGAGATCATTTGACAAATCTACCCTCAACCTTTGCATCAATTATATAAGATTTTCTACTTTTTCTTTTTTCAGGCTGTTAACCACTGTGATTTGGAACCAGTTGCATATGAAGCTTTTTCCTCCGGCGCTGCGTATCTGCTTCCCTTCATCTGAATCATTCCTCTTCCAGGTTTAGTGTTTTTGATTTTGTTTTTTTGGGTATTCCTGCCTTATCTTCCAGTAGGGCTTCCTTCCTTAATTCTAAATTTCAGTTTCCGATTGCTTAATTTTTGTATTCAGTTTTTGCTTGGTTGCGTTTTCAGAATCTTAGCTTCTCCATTGCCATCGTTCTCCACTGCTTCGTCTTCAGGTAAGCTTTCGGCAATTGGCAGCATACATTTTTTTATTATATATATTTTGAGGATTAATGGAACTGATACATGTTCATCCCCATAGCCACCACCACAACTGTTGCTGCAACAACAACTTTTAAGGCCTTTGTGACTATTGTTCCATATGTTAGATTAAAAATTAGGTCTTTTCAAATTAGAACCCTAATAAGAAAATAAATAGAAAAGTGAAACGTTGTTATAGAAAGAAATGGAGGTAATATGCTCTAATAAACATGTAAATAATTTGAAAGGCTTATGTGATATTATTTCTTCTACTGTTTTTCCAATTAATTGAATCTTCCTCTTTTCATTTCTTATTCTACAGTGTTATTGTTCCAGCCAGATGATACTAATACTGCAAACTGGTGACACGAAGCTGTATATATCGTTTTGGGTATTTCTTTCTCCCACCTTTTTTCCCCATTTTAAAAATTTATAAAAGCAAAAAGTTTATTCGATATATAAATTTCGGTTCAATACTTAATTTTTTTTTTCATGGTCTCATGAATTACCTCTTTGCCCTCACTTCATATAGAAAACATTGTTGGATTTTGGATAAGATTTGGTTAAATCATTTATTGAAATGATGTCTATAACATTTGGATTTGGATACCTACATGGCTAGAAAAAATTGGTAATGGAATCGCTGTTTAATGTCTTAATGGGTACACTTGGAAATGTTAGATTAGGGAATGTCTATTCCCACTTGGAGTTTGGGAATTGTGAAGCACATCCATGAAGCTGGGACAGTTTTGTATATTGTAATAGCAACAAGTATGATGAATAATACTGGATTTTAAATCGCAGAAAATGACAACTCAAATCACAATCTTACATATAACTAGGTCAAAGAAGGAAGCTCATCTGGCAAGATTGTTGAGGTGGTCTATAAATGTGATCCTTTCCTTTTAATTTATAAAATTCTTTCCTACGCTTATTATTCCATTACGAAATTTCATATTTCCATGTTTTATTTATTAATTTTCATTTCTAGCTATAAAGAATGTCATATTTGTCTGTTTGTTTTGTTTTGATGGAATGGAATATGTGATTCCCTATTGGGTGTTTTATTCTTATAGTATGAAATATCATATTTCCCTATTTATATTTCCCAATTTTCATTTCTAAGGTATAAGGAATGTCATATTTAGCTATCTAATTACCATTTTTGTGTATTTGATCAATAAGCTTATAATGATTTACGGGTTTTGTTTTTGTAAAGATTTAGTGAATCAATATAAGTAAATTGATCTTATTGGAAAAAAAAAAACTTAGACAACTCTATATTCTTTCTTTAAATTGATGTTGTGTTGTTTATGTTTGTTTACAGAAATCAAGGGTATGCACAATTAATGAAATTAAGAAATAGCAATGTAAATTCATTATTTTATAGCATACTAGAACATATTTGGTTATTATACGTTTGTAAATAGGCGGATTGTAGAATGACACAGATCAAAACCCCCGATCCATGCGAAAGCTTCTGACCCCCCGCACAGCGAGGGTTCCCTTTCTGGTTATTATTATTATTATTATTATTATTATTATTATTATTTTAATTAACTTTATTAGTCAAGGAAAGCAGTATAAATGAACTCCCATCGTATCCAAATTCCAGTCAAGAATCAAAGATATCATACACATTTACAGAGACAAAAAAATAGGATTTTTAGATCGACAAAATGCAGAAAACTGCATCATCTTCAACCTTGGGTCCAGATGGTTTAGACATAGCACAATCGTTCTTCAAGCCCATTCAAGGCGCATCGCCACCACCAACAACCAGCCGGAACACCAAAATCTCCGTCGTTGGTGTCGGGAACGTTGGTATGGCCATCGCACAGACCATCCTCACCCAAGCCCTCGCCGACGAGATCGCACTTGTCGACGTCAACGCCGAAAAGCTTCGTGGAGAGATGCTAGACCTCCAACACGCCGCCGCCTTCCTCCCACGAACGAAAATCTCCGCTTCCGTTGATTATTCCAGCACTCTCGCATCAGATCTTGTCATCGTCACCGCCGGTGCACGACAGATACCGGGGGAGTCTAGGCTTAACTTGTTACAGAGAAACCTCGCCCTGTTCTCAAAAATGATCCCGCCGTTGGCTGCAGGGTCGCCGGAGACTATCATGCTCATCGTCTCGAATCCGGTGGATGTTTTGACTTATGTTGCTTGGAAGCTATCTGGGTTTCCGTCGAATCGAGTTATCGGATCTGGTACTAACCTCGATTCATCCCGATTCAGGTTCCTCATTGCTGATCATCTAGATCTCAATGCTCAAGATGTACAGGTGAGTTATTTTCATATCAAACTTCATATTCTGCTTCTGGTTTCTATTTCGATCACTCATCTGGTATTTTAGGCTTACATCATCGGAGAACATGGAGACTCATCGGTGGCGTTATGGTCAAGCATAAGCGTAGGAGGGGTTCCGATACTTAGCTTTTTAGAGAGGCAACAAATCGCATGTGAGAAGCATACACTTGAGAAGATTCACAGAGAAGTTGTGGAAGGTGCATATGAAGTAATCAGGTTGAAAGGATACACATCGTGGGCAATTGGGTATTCGGTGGCTAGTTTAGCTCGAAGCATCTTGAGGGATCAACGTAGCATTCACCCTGTTTCTGTGTTGGCTAAAGGGTTTTACGGCATTGATGGTGATGGTGTCGGCGAGCCATTTCTGAGTTTGCCGGCGCAGTTGGGGAGGAGCGGCGTCTTGGGGGTGACGAATATTCATCTGACGGAAGATGAAGCAAAACAGCTTCAAGAATCTGCTAAGACAATCTTGGAGGTGCAAAGCCAATTGGGCATTTGACTTGAGTTGACTTGATTTGATTGAGCCATATGTTTTACTATTTATTTTAAGAGTATGTTTTGGTATTTCTGCATTACTCGGGGTTAGTTTTGTAAATTCCCGTAACTAGTAGTAGTTTTCGCATTTTACCCTATATCGAAGATTTTGTTATCATATTTTGGTACAATATGCAATACAACGGTTCTTCTTTTCAATACATTAACGAATTTGTGGCTCTACAACAATCTCGATCTCCATTTGTGATCAAATTAGATTCCATTTGCGAATCTTTACATGGTATTAGAGTTGTAGGACTGAGAAATCAAATGTTGATACAAGTACAATTCATATTAAGTTCTAGTGATAATACTTGTCATCGACTTTCGATGATGCTACAAACAACTCCATTAATTATCACAAATAGATAAAAAGTGAGTCCAACAACTCATGTTTTATTGAATGGTTATTGTCACTGTAGCACAATAATATTCCGTATATCGGTTTAAATAGTCTTTTCATTTATTTATTTATTTATTCCTTCTAAGGGTATGAATTTATGTTTTTAAGCTTTAAAAGGTCCCTTTGAAAAAATTGGAGGAGTTATCCGATGATCCCTTCCTAGCAGGTTTAATATTATTAAACTCGAACCTCAATTGTCGCGTTACAGGACTGATAATAACCCTAAATTCAATAGCGATGACCATGAAATCAACGAAGTCTGATTCTTGTTTTAGAGAAAAACCAATAATCACGTATGAATTGCATCACAAGAAATTGGAGGTTTAAATCAGAAAAATAGCAGCGGTGTCTCTTCTGATTTCAATCAATATTCTTTTGGTTCTTCACTTTATTCTTCATCTTTTTTGTTATCGAGAGAGTCGCCCATGTACATCAAATCTTGATTGATGGTGGTTCTTCACTCTGTTCCCCGTCTTCCGATTTCAACCAAACCTAATCATGAACAAATCGACGACAATGATTTGATTACGATTCAGTTGCCGGACCGACTCCTAGATCAACACCTCACAAACAGGTCAGGGAAAGCTCGTCAAAACCACCAACATTCTCTCCATCATCAGTATTGTCGACGATTCCTGTGGTATCATCCTCGGCCAAACCTCTCGTCGGCTGCTCCAATACCTGCAAAATTTTGTCACCATTACGAAGTATGCATAGCGGTACTTTGAATTTTGTTTAGTGGGTTGAACCAGACAGAGCAGCATACGCGTCCGATTCAACTCGTTTTCATATACTCCTTTTTCATAAATGGCATGAGACTCATCGATTTAACTTGAAACGAGTTAAGATTCAAAATAGCAAGTATCATCAAAGCTTATAATTTCATGAGTTTCAAAACTTTCTTAATCTCAAATTATATAAGTTTCAGATTCAAGTTACAAGTAGCATCATTTCGATGAATTTTTGTATCTTGATTTCAAAAGATATTAAATTGAGATTTTTAAGCTATAATTAGCATCGATGCTTGAAAATTTTAGTATTGTGACCCTTCCCAACGGAAACCCCACCAAGGGCGGTGATGATTTGTTGCACTGTACTTTGTATGTGGTTGTTCACTGTGTTGGCGCTCAAGAGGTTGAGTTTTGTTGTGGGTATGGCGTTAGACAACACTTGTAGTCCAACAGTCAATAGGCAGCCTCCTCCGGATCCAGTTGAGTTCCCGGTGATGGTGGTGGTGGTGGAGGTGATGTTGTCATTAACGTTTTGTTGTTGATGGTTGAACTTTATCATATCAGATAGTTGTATCGGAGGAACAAAATAATGAGGAAGCAGAGGTGCAGGCTGATGAAGACATTAGATGAATCATCTTTGAAGAATGAAAAACTTGACATTAATGATATGCCAATGAAAGAGAATCAGATAATGCACTCAACTTAATATATTGTATTTTTTGTTTTAAATTCAGGGAAATGAAAATGTATTCTTAGTTCTTTGATTTTGTTTCAGGTTTCTAAGAATACTGATGTAGAAAGGGAAGATTTGAACAAAAGCAATGTGGTTTTAAGCTTGAATTTAAATGAAGATGAAGGAGATGGAGACGGTGGTGGTGATGATGAACAAGGCTAATTAAAAAAGGGCCCCACAAATTTATTAACAATTTCTTTTATTAGCAAGGCAGTGTAACCTTCAAAAAATGGGTAAAGGTACGAAATTAACAGATAAAACACAAGTTCGTACCCTTCAAAGGCAAAAGAAAATAACGAGGGGTGGGTGATTTTAGTGTCACCATGTCATTTTATGTAACTCGAACTAACATGTGAGCTAAAGGACTTCATAATTTGTACTCTAATATATGTACGAGTTTGTGCGGAGTGCACACATGTATAAGATCGAATTAGAAGCTGGTTCGACGACAAGTCGGGGGTCCGGGGGCAGCGCCCCTGGGTCTGGGGTTTCCAAAGGGGCGCCGGGGTCTAGGGGCAGCGCCCCTAGCGGGGTCCAAGGGGCAGAGCCCCTGGCTGGGTGATTATGGTAAAACTGACGAAATTCGTCAATTTTGGAAACCCTAAATCCTCATTAAATTTCGGATTTCCTGGCTTGTTTCCAAAGCAACCCATGACGGCTAACCCTAAGAGAAATCCTAATCTCATTTATTATATAAACGACACTTCTCTTTGAGAAGACGTACGAAATTCTTAAGCTCTCATTTTTCATCAAACAAACACATAATCCTTCTAGTAATTTGGCTTACGACTTCTGTGCCTAGAATCGTAAGTGTCCTCTTGGATTATCCTAGGCTGAATTTCTTACAACCCAGGCATAGGGTAGAAATATCAGTTTGAAAAGTGTTCACACGATCCAAGTGGTATCCACATCTCCACTACAAACCCTATTTTTTCCTACACGAGGGACCATTTAAACCAATATACGAAACATTATTGGGCTACAATGACAATAACCCTTTATTGAATACTTGTAAAGTTTTATCATCCTATAGTAATACATGTTTATTTGGTTCTGGTTGCTGCAATCATATGACACCGCACAGAAGCCTATTCGTTACTAATTAGTCATTCCAAGTTGACTAACCAAAGCCACTCTATGTGCATCTGTAACGACCCAAAAATCAAGGGTAAAAATTTCATTTTTATTATAGTCAAAACACAGATGTCATTTAATCCAAACATTCCAAAACCATTGCTAATTAATAACATTTATCAGAGTTCATCCCAAAATCACATATGGCGGAAAACATGGGTGTGTGCGCTGCGATCAAGCCGGGCCCTTCCTTTCCAAACCGATGATACCTGAAACCATAAACAAAGCTGTAAGCACGAATCTTAGTGAGTTTCCCCCAAAATACCACACACCATACAATCACAGAATAACATCCACAAAATATCATCCACAGACTATCATCCACAGTATATCATGTAACATACATATAGTTGTCATGGGCTTCCCCCATGGTCTTTACCAGGAATGCCATGGGCTCCCCCATGGTCTTATATCCAAATGCCATAATCTCCCCCATGGTCTTACATCCAAATGCCATGGGCTCCCCCATGGTTTTATATCCAAATGCCATGGGCTCCCCCATGGTCTTATATCCAAATGTCATGGGCTCCCCCCATAGTCTTATATCCAAATGTCATGGGCTCCCCCATGGTCTTTCAGGAAATTATCATAGAGACAACTAGCATTTCACATAACAAGAAATGGGCCGGCATTGGTGCCTTCGACCCATGGATATAGTGAGAAGACTCACCTCACACTGCTGAATCACACAGACGAACCCGACTGCTAGCTGACAGATTCCTAAACTGTCAAACATCAAAACAACACCCAATTAAAAATTGGGTGCCAATGCATAACCATAAATCTATACTTGGGGTAAAAAGACTATTTTACCCCCAACCTAGCTTGGTCCAAAACCAAGACCTAAACTCCAACTCTGGAGGCCTAAAGGCCAAATAATCAGTCAAAGCCCAATTATAGCCTAATTTTCCAAATTGGGCCGAAACCCTTTACATGAGCCTTACCCTAAAGCCCATTCAATTTTCCTAGTCCATATACATGTTCTCAGATGGCCCATCAAGAACCAAACACCCAAGCCCAAAAGAAAGGCCCAACCCAAAGCCCAAACAAAGTTAGGGTTTTAACATAAAATGACGGTTAGGGTTAATTAAGAACACTTAACCCATAAAGGACTTAATCCATTAAGTCCATCACTCTACTAGGTTAACCATACAATATGGTCGGGCTTAATTCATAGTTTCAATCCAACAGTCCAAAACGCGGGTCCCGACAAATCCAAAACTAACATCTCCAAAATTAGGGTTTTCTAAACCAGGGTTTCCAACCCAATCGCATGCCAATTAAGCCCAAGGTTAAGCTTTTAGGTCAATTAGGGTTTCACTAGGCCAGGCACCACCTACTGCCACCTCGGGCGGTGATGGTCGACGACGGTTCGCGGCGGCAGCCACCACCTCACGGTGGTGGTGATGGTCCTCTTCACTTTTGACTAAGAAAAGTTGATACAACATTCACCATTAAAACACACACACATAAATGTACCATAATATACGCACACACAACCACCTCCCACGGTGGCGGGTAGCGGCAAGGGATGGCAGAAAACGGCAGCCACCATGGTTGGTTACCATGGTGGTTCGCCTCACCTCCGACCAACATGCTTCACGGGTTCTAGCAGCAACACACATACATTCAAGACACGAGACCACAAGCACACAACCACCGACTAGGCGGCTGATAACACTGGAACAAACAGGAACGGCGACTAAGGGTCACCGACGATAATAAGGACGTTTCCAACGTCGTACCCACAAAAAAGAACGAAATAGAGAGAATGTGGGTAGCAGTTAGACTTACCGAGGGTTTCCGGGCGTTCGCGACCTACAATTCGCCGATCACAGCTCAAACTTCGGTCTCGGTGGTCCTCCAGGCCGTTCACGACGTCACCGACAGCAGGGTTGAGGTGGTGACATTTCAATGGCGAGGTAGCAGGCGGCGGTCGGTCTCGGCAATGCAACGGCAACCACGACGTCGGACCAGCCCTTCCATTCTCCATTCTGATGTGACATCTATTGGATTAGGTGTCTAAACCCATAACTATATTTGGTATGTACTTGACCCGATAATAGCATGGTCCTTTTGGGTTGCCTTCACCAAAACAACTTGAATGGATGATTAATGGAGATAGAGGATATTATGGTTTATTAATATATTATAAGAATAATATATTAACAGAGAAATCATATTGTTTAATTAATATTGGTCAAAAATTAATTAAGAATTAATTTTGTGACTAAAAGAGATTAATTAAATAAAGGGGACTGGTATTGCAATTATAAGATAATTGGATTTTGGGATGTAGATCCTTATGGATATAAGGGGGACGAAAATTTGAGTGGAAGCCCACTATGATTCCGTCCATGGCCTTATTCCAGAAGGTTCTTTGGACTGCTTAAGGCCTAAGCTATCCAATTAGGGTTTTGACTGAAACCCTAACAACACACCTATATAAGGGACCCTAGGGCACCCAAAATCGGCTACCACTTATTCCTAAGAGTTCTAGAGCCGAATTTGGAGCCTCCATTCCCTCTCTTCAAGATCATCTTCTTGCCTTGGTGTTTGTAAGCCATTAGAGGTATTACAATTGTGATACTAAGCTCTTGAAGTTAAAAATTCTTGCTACTTGTGAAAGGTAACCATCTAAACTTGTTTTAGTTGTTAATTTCGAATTTCATATGCTAGATCTAGGGTTTTATAGCTTTGGATGATTCGCATGTACAATAGAGAAACCTAGATCGAAAGCTTTAGGGTTTTGCATGTGTACACAAGAATGTTCTTTTGCTCAAAACCCATCAGTCGTATCAGAGCCTTAACTGGTTTCAATTGTATTTGATGCTTATATGTTCGTCCATACCTTGAAAAGAAAAACGTTTTTGAAAAACACCCAACTCAAGACGTGACTCACTGAGTTCACGATGTGAGTCCAGTCTGTCTGACAGACTCGACGAGTCCAGAAGGCTACTCAACGAGTCTGTGGATCAGATGGCTCAAATCTCGGATTTTTGACTTATTTTGTGTTTGGATAATTACCAAAATTGTTTTTGAATAATAAAATCCTATATATATATATATATATATATATATATATATATATATATATATATATATATATATATATGTGTGTGTGTGTGTGTGTATGTGTAGTGATTATCGTTACCAAAATAAAAGACAATTATCATTTAATTAGATAATTATTGACTTATGCGATAAACTTTAATTATTTGAATTATTTGATTGAATTATCTTGCATGAAATTAGATTAGGTCAAATCTAGATAATAACTGATTAATTGTTTAATTAAATTATTTGTAATTTGATCTAGAAAGTTTTGAAAACTTTCAAAACTTGCCCTCAAGTTTTGGAATTAAAATTTTTTGATTAAAAGTTTAATTTTGAAATATTTAAATTCTAAACCCTAGAATTTTACAAGTTTAAAATTCAACCCTTATACTATTATAGTATTACAAGATTAATAATATATATATATATATATATATATATATATATATATATATATATATATATATAGTCTTACCGTTAGTAGGCTCATTCTCGAAGCCGATCTATAAGGGGGTATAAGGAAATTGCCTATAAAATGACGATTGAATGAGTGTCCACTCTCACCCACCGCTTCCTTGATTGGTGGAGGGTTGTTAGCCGAACGGATAGGATAGGGCAACTAATTCTTCATTATAAGTATAATGAATATATAAAGTAACTAAATGTTTTTATAAAATTCCCAATCTTAGTTACTTTAGGAAAAATGTGAAAATGATGCTATTCCATGAAATTACACTTTGTACCCTTGACAAGACGTTAGTGGAGCGTGTGTGGTTAACCGACACACTAATTTGGGTCTAGCAAAGGTGGCAAAGGGTGACTCGATGTTTTTCATAGATCAATGGAGTGTGTGTGGCTAACCGGCACATTGATTATGTGACTGTAACATTGATGGCACCAAGTACATTTGCATGGTTATTCACACATTGTTTGTGATCCTCGGTATCCCAGTCACAAACTTGAAGGGTATA